AAACTTAACTTTCCTCAGGCTTAAGACAAACTAGACCCATGTTTATTACCATGTATTAAACTAAAGTCAAAATGGATCAAAGATCTACATATTAAAATAGAAACACTAACTCTACAGGAAGAGAAAGTAGGTAGAAATTTTGAAGTAGGCAGAGAGTTCATGGAAAAAAAACCCAAACTGCATGGGAAGTGCTTCAAAGAATCAAAAACTGGTGTCTCATTTTATTATAAAATTTTTGCACATCAGGGGCTGGGGATTTAGCTCAGCGGCATAAGCACCTGCCTTGCAAAGCAAGCGCTCGTGAGTTCGATCCCCGGTACCGATACAAATGAAAAAGACAAAAAAAAATAAAATAAAATTTTTGCACATCAAAAGAAACCACCAACAGAATGAAAAGAAACCCATAGATTGGGAAAATATTTTAGCCAATTTTTCCTCAAACAAAGAGCTTCTATCTAGAACATATAAAGAACTGAAAAAAATCAGCCCCCCCCTTTAAAAGACTGAATCAAAAAATGGGCATTTGAGATGCATAACCTTGTGCTCACTTTGTCTCTGTCACACACACACACACACAAAAAAAAATTAGCTAAGATAGTTATACTACTAATTTAGTTCACTGAAGAACAGTTTGCTTGTATTGTTTGATCAAGTTTGTTTTGCATTGCCTATATTTTGTAATCTGAGCAACTGCTTTGATGATAATAGTATGCAATATATTACTCATTGTTAATTTCTTATTCTGTTAAGAAATTCTGAAAAAAATAAACATTTGTCTGCACATAGGTAAATAGTGCATATCCCTCTGGTATGAGAAACTGAAATGTAGATGAGAACATAAATACACAATAGATATTCCAATATAGGAAGAACTGTTCAAAAGGAAAGGGGAAATAGTGAGGAAGAAAGGGAAAGAAAAATGAGAAAAGAAGGATAAAATAAAAACTGAGCTTTGTGAACAAGAAGAGGATTTAAAAAGAGGAAAGGGGTCAGGAGGTTCAGGCAGGAGAATCATTGCAAGTTCAAGAGCAGCTTGGGCTACAAAGTGAGCACAAGGTTAGCCTGGACTGCATAGGGAGATCCTGTCTCAGACAAAAACTGGGGAGAGCGGGCAGTGTGAATGGGAAAGGAAAAACAAAAACGAACCAGGAATTCAGCAGTGATTCTACCTGGATCTAAGCTTTTTCTTTATTGTTATTTTTTTTCTTTTTTTTATTATAGTATTTCTTCAATTTTATTGACTGATACTGGTTTATTCAGAGTTTTTATATCTTGAATAAGCTTTCATAGTTGATTTCATGTGGAGGAATCTTTCCATTTCTTCTGAATTTTCGATCTTTCTGGAGTAAAGTAGGTACAAATGATCTGGATTTCTGTAGTATCTATTGTGATTTCGCCCTTTTCATTCCTGATTGAATGGATTTCTGTCTTTTCTTGGCTTCTTTTGATAAGATTGGCTAAGGATTTGTGTTTGTGGGGTTTTTTTTTTAATTATTTAAAAGGAAAAAGAGAAGAAACAAAACAGTGTAAGGGTACAAGCAATACAGAACTACAAAAAAAAAAAAAACAGTTAGAAATCACCAGTTAATAGATTACACATTATCATCTTAGAGATAGTTGCTCAAGTCACAGGATCAAAGCATACAAAGTGGACATTCAAACAGTGAGACTGCAAACAGTTGTGTTCAATGATCCAACCAAAAACATTAATATGATCATCTATTTAACATCACTAAACACACTTGCAGTTGTAACCTTTAGAGTGATTTTTTTCCCTCTCTTTTTTACAACAAAATTTATGCATTTTGGGTTTTATTACTCCATAGTTCTTATTATTTTTTTTTTTTGGAAGAGAATAAAGTCAAATATGGCAAAACAAAGCTGTCAGTCAAAACCAAGGACAGACATAGTACATGATGTAAAAACAGAGTACAAGGTTATCAACAATCATTACCATAATGCCTCTTGCTTCCTTAAAAAGAATTGTCTATCTCATTAGTTATTACAAAGTTGAACAAAACAGTAGAGAACAAGACCAATAAAATCTAAACCTTGTAAACATTACAGGACTTCCAAAGGAAATAATAGTCAAACCAGAATGGGCATCATAGTGAATCTTATTGCCTTCAAAGTAGTTGCCTATACCCTCAAACTTGATACTATCATACAGATCGGAACAGAGTCTAATCAGTCAAAACAAGATAGTGGGAGTATTACAGGACTTCAAGTGAAGTTAATAGGAAATAAAAAAAAAATTACTATAATATATCCTGCTAATTTTTTTGATTTTTTCCCCTTAATTAAAAAATCATAAAAAAATAACTAAATAATTTTTTTAATGAATAAGGGAGAGATTGAGATAAAAGAGGACATAACAACATAACAATGCAGGTCAAAGCATGACAGTTTCAGCAACCTAGTGCTTCACCACCAAATAATCCGACTTAATAGTAGTTACCATAGTGTCTTTTTCCTTGAAATATTTGAATATAATGTCATATACTATAGCATCAAACATATCAAGTCTGTGTAAAACCATTCAAGTGGATGAAAGCATTGTAGGGTATTTAGAACCAGCTAAAAGAAAACGAGCAATGGTTTCTATATTATCTCTTTGCCTATAACAATTTTTGTTTATACTGTCACATATAATAAAATCCAGCAAGATACATCATGATAAAACCAATGGAGACAGAAGAGCTATAGTCTGGTGGGGCTTCAAGACAAGATGATAGTAAAACAGCACTAGCTATTATGATGACTTGTTCGAGATAGCTGTTCATCACAGGCCATAATATCAAGCAGCCCAGAATAAAGCCATTCCAATTAATAAGTGAAAACTTTGTAAGGCTTCAAGGCCACATAATGGGGAATCATGATTACCACATACTTTTATATATTTGAATCATTTCTTACATTAGGAAAACTATTCGGTATTCACACATGCGAGATTGATTTATTTCACTTATGAATATGGTCTCAAGCTGCACCCATTTATTGATAAATATCTCAATGTGATCCTTCTTTATAGCTGAGTTAGTACTCCATTGTATAGAAATACCACAACTTTTTATCCATTCCTCAGTTGATGGACACTTGGGTTGTTTCCAAGATCTGACGATTACAAATTATGCTGCTATAAACATAGGTGCACATATATCACTGTGGTATGATGCTTTCAGTTCTTCTGGGAATACGTCTAGAAATGGAATAGCTGGAACAAATGGGACTTCCAATCCCAGCTTTTTGAGAAATCTCCAGACTGACCTCCGCAAAGGTTGTACCAGTCTACACTCCCACCAACAGTGTAGGAGAGTTCCTTTTTCCCCACAGCCTCTCCAGCATTTATTGTTGTTGGTTTTCTTGATCCTGGCCATTCTTTCAGGAGTGAGATGGAATCTCAGTGTGGTTTTAATTTACATTTCTCTAATGACCATGTGTGTGTTTTATTTAATCTTTCAAAAAATCTCTACTCCGATTGATTCATTGATTCTTTGTATTGCTTTCTTAGTGTCAATTACATTCATTTCTGCTTGGATTTTCATAATTTCCTTTTATGAGCTTTGGGTTTAAGTTGCTCTTCTTTGTAGAACTTTGAGGTTCAGCATTAGGTTATTTACTTGAGCTTCCTCTGTTTTTTCTCATATGAGAATTTGCTTCCATTTAATTCTCTCATAGGAGTGCTTTCACTGCATCCCATAAGTTCAGATATGTTATATCAGCATTAGTGTTTAATTGTAGAAATTTTATCAAGAGAGAAAAAGCCTTTACTGATGGACCTTTAAGCATTACAGAGTTATATCTCACTGTATTCATAATTTAGGTATATTCTCTTTGTACTCCAACCTACCTAATTATAGTTGTGAAATTTATGTCAAGAAAGGAAAGGTAATAAAAGAAGCAGCAAAAGATAATAGAATGTTTATATACACGTGCTAATTATATACAGTATCCAAACTGAAAACAAATACAAATAAAATGACTGCTAGACAGAGGTAAATTCAGATTGGAATTGTATCAGACAGAATTCTAATATAAAAACTGAAAGACTATTAGCCTATAAAAACGTTCTGTGTGTTTTGCCTTATATTTCAATATGCAAAAGCAAAGCCTTCAAAATAGGATAGAAATTTTAAAAATTGGGTCTATTTGTGTCATAATATAAAACTCTAAAGCAGTAATTTTAAGAATTTAAAGGGTGTCACTTAAATGGAAGCTAAAAGTTGATCTCAGAGAAGTACAGAATAGAATAGTGATTACAAGAGCCTGGGAGGGTATAGGGGAGGGATATAGAGTGAGAATGGATAAGGATAAAGGGGTGCAGCTGAGGAGAAGAAATTACTTATAATGTTCTATAGCACAGTAGAACAGATATTTTTGACAATATTGGACGTTTAAAAATACATAGTAAAGGGATTTTTAAATATTTCCAACATAAATTATAAATTTCAGAGGTAAGAGATGTGCCATTTTCTTTGATCATTATATGTTGTATACCCATATTGAAATACCACATAATATAAATATATACAATTAGAAATTAAGCAAATGAATTTCAGGGGTCTCTGAGACAAGGAGTGCAAGAATCACTGGTCAAGTGTTAAATTGATGAGTGCAGAGTTTATAGTTGACAGATGTGTTTTACAGGTATTAACAGGCCAACAAAAAAGTATGTATGTAGCTGTGTTTTAATTGCAGTTCAGCCTTGTGAAGGACACGTGTAGGTTGAGGTTGCTAACAACCCCAGTAAAGAGTGGGAGTACGGTTCAGCAAGAGAATGGTTGTCCAGTATGGGCAAGATCCTAGACTTGATCCCTAGCACCAAATAACTAAATAAACAAACACAAATAATAAGCATACAAGCTGAGTTAAAAACCTTAGGCAGACTCCTAGCATAATTTAAGGAAAAGAAGTTGACTGACTTGACTTGTAAAATAGGGTAACTTTGTTGGTTTATGGATTAGTACCATGTTTAAATCCAACCTGATTTCTCACTGCAGGGCTACAACACACAGTGATCTTATTCTGAGAGCGACAAAGCTGGGAATTCCTTATCGAGTTATTCACAATGCCTCCATAATGAATGCTGTAGGCTGCTGTGGTTTACAGGTAATGTTACAAAGGGAGGACTTTTTAAATGGAATTAAGCAAAACTTAGTTTTTTACAAATTGCTACAGATTTTAATTGTATTTCATGAATTATAAAATATACTAATATTTGATAGTATACTATATAATATGTACTGAAATTTTTATGTCAAAGCTTTCTATACCTTGGATATTTTCTTCCTTTTCTTGGAATGGGCCATTTATGTTTACCTTGAGAAGAGTTTTAATTTTGTATCCAACTTGTACATAGAAAGGAAACTTTAGTATAAACTAACTGTATTGGGTAAATACTCCTATGCCTTTTAATATTCTTTCAAATGACTTAATAGCATTCTTGAGACCCATCTTTTTCCAAACAGTACTTTTCTGTAGCATAGACAACATTGTGATTCTTCATTTTTTAAAAGAGAATAAAACCAAACAAAATGAAACAGATTAAGACCAATCAAAACAAAACAGTGAAAGTAATACAGGACTTCAATACAGGATAATAGGAAATCAATAGTGGCTACCATACTGCCTCTTGTTATCTTCAAAATTGCTGCCCATACCATCAGACATAATAAAATCAAACAAAATAGAACAGAATAAAACCAATCAAAACAAATGTAGCAAAAGACAATAGAACACTATTGTATTTCAAAAACAAGACAGAAGAAAATCCCTATACTTGCTATATTGTTGTGCTCTAAATAGAAGCTTAGACTGCTGGCTTTAGGCCTGCAAAGTCAATCAAACAATATAAGCATTAAGTCATTTTTGTACCTCAGTTACCATCAACTCAGTCTATGATATTCTAACTCAGCCAGCTGCTTATTGGATGAGGAGAACTCCACTCTTCTTGTTTCCTATCTCATGTACCAGCAGGCTCACAGGAAAAGCACTTTCTATTTCTTCTCCCAACCACAGTTACCACTGGTTCATGGAAAGGGCTCATCCTATTTCCAATGCTACATTTCTTAAAGGATTCAGTGAAAGTATAAAAAATCGGTGGTATTAGGCTTTTAAACCAGCTTTACAGTTGTTGATGTTGTAAAGTTATTTTTAACTTCAATAATGTTGGTTCATAAGAGTTAGGTTGCTCCTCAGCTATTTCTAAGATTTTATTCTAAGCTGCTAATACTCAATTTTCAAACTTAATATTTGTGTTGTAATGTTCACATTTAATAATCTGTAACAGCATGACCAACAGTGGTTTATAAGACTTCACTGACTATTAAGACATGTTCCTATTTCAGATATGTTTCATTAGTTGTGTTGGAAAAATAATGTGTATTTTAGAGTCTGAAAAGTAAGATATTTCCCAGTGTATTTTCCTAAAATGCATAATTTAAGGATAGATCTTCATGACCAGTCATGGTGTTATATTGAGGATTGAAGCCATTGCCTTGAGCTGTGAGGCAAGTGTTCTACCACTGAGCCACATTTCTTGTCTCTATGATCAGGCATGGTGTTATACATGTATTATCCTGGCACTCAAAAGGCTGAGGTTGGAGGATTGCCATGAGTTCAAGGCCAGCCTGGGCTGTGTAGAAATTACTCAGCAAGAATTGTCTCAAAATACACACACACACACACACACACTATATTTATAGACACAAATGTGTTAGCATCATACATCAGTGCTAGGTAGAAAAGTCTATGGAATTTTGCCCTTTTTTTAAAAAAATGCACACTTAAACAATTACTGCCAATTTAAGTAATTTTCTGATGGTTTACAGATCTTTTAAAAAGATCAGGTGAATGTTCCTTTAGGACCCTAAAATGTTAGTTTACAAAGAGTGCTGGGGAAAGACAAAAGTGCTCCCAAAGTCATTCAGGAGGTAGTGCAAAAATAGTGTTAAAATTCTTGATTCCTTCTCCAGTACTCTTCCTTTTAGACAATGCTACTTTTTAAGGATTGATTATTGCTAAAAGAAAAGGAAAAAAAAAAAAAACCCTAGAATAATAAATTATGTAATACAAAACATATGCAGCTTAAATTAATTAAACCTTTTTATAATCTTGGTTTTAATTTTATGCCTTGTAAGCAAACTAGCCCTTTCTCCGGCATATTTTGCTTTAAACTACCATAAATATTTTCATTTAAAGTTATTTTTGCTTTTCCCAACAAGCAGATAAATATACAACAACCCATGTAAAACTATGGTATTAGATTAGCTAGAACTAACTCTGTATGTTGTTGTCCTACTTCTGATCTTCTGTACTGATAGAAAAGTAGTTGTTCTGATATTTAAAAAGAATGATGATGTTTAAGAAGGAATTTACTATGAGATTTGGCAGTTTCCATAAAAGAACCCTATGATCATATCCATGTTAAATAAAGTATTTTTATAGTATTTTAAATTTCTCACCATTGTATATGGAAATCCTCCATGCAGCCACAAACTATTTTCCTCTCACCTTGGTTTTATTATCTAATCTAGATGTGAAATGATTTACTACTTGTGTGAAAAACAGGAAGTGACTTCTAAGATCTGTTTTATGTACTAATGAAATGTTTATGAAGGTATATTTCTTACACTAACCAAATTATTCATATCCCAAGAAAACTAATTATTGATTCTTTTTGTACAGTTTGTTAGTATAAAGGACATTAAAAATCATTACAGTTGTCTCTGAATAGGTATGTGACTTGGCTGCAAGACCTGTATTGATAATCTGTAGATGCTCAAATCCCTTGTATAAAACACATGAAATTGGAACCCTGGATACAGAAGTCAACTGTGTATGCATGGCACATTTTAAAATAAATCTATAGATTATTGCATAATACAAAAACTTAGGCAAAGTTCCCTTCCTTATAATAGCCAGCCTTCTTATTATTACTATTTGGATTAGTGTTTATGAAAGGAAACCTGATTGAGAGGTTTTCAGGCTTTATATTCATCAAAATCTCAACTAAGTAACCTTTATCCTCAGATTTTTTGATATAGTAGGGTTAAGATGGGTTCTGAGACATTATTTTTATTTATTTATTTACTGATTTCTTTATTTTGAGGCAAGATCTCACTGTGCAGTCCTGGCCTTGAATCTCTTGGCCCAGGCTCTTAAGTGGTGGCATTGTAGGTGTGCACTGCCACACTCATTTGAACATTTATATTTCTAACATGCTCAGGGATACTGTAGCTGTTGATACAGGTGCTTTGAATTGAGAACCTAAACAAATAAAAACTTAGAACTGTATTATCTTTGTTTTAGCACAATAGGATTGAAAGAATATATTTTAGTTCCCAGAAATAGATTTGCCAAATGTAGAATGGAAACATTACCTAGTCATGTTGCCTGCTTAATGTTTTAAAAAGGGAAGTAGCCATCTCTTTTTAAAAGAGATTATTTGTGCTTTCAGAAATAGGCAAAGTGTTGAACAGAGATACCACTTTGAATCTTGAGATAGACCTGAACAATACATACTTTCCATCATCTTTGCCTCACATTAAAGGGTAGCAGTATGCAATTCCTAACTTTAGTATAAGTTTTTAAACTTAACAACCCTTTTGAACTATCTTTGTTAATTTCTTTGTTCTGAGACAGGGTCTTGGTCTGTAACTCATGTCAGCCTTGAATTCATTAAGTAGCTCAGGCTAGCCTCAAACTCACAGTGATCCACTGCCGCAGTCTCTTTAGTGATGGGATTATAGATGGGAAACACAATGCCCAGCTTGTTTTTGTTATTTTTAAAGGAACAACATGAAGAATTCAGAATCAACCATTCCATATTAATGATTAACTTTGTAGTGTATTAGCCAGCAGAAGATTCTTGTTGGTTTTAATATTGGTTAGTAGTTGGATAACTATTTAACATCTCTCTCTCCTGTCTCCCCCCATATATAGATATAGATAGGTATATCTATATACAGATATAGTTGGTATATATAGTTATATCTATATAAAGATACATAGAGTTGGTACAGTTTATATATTCCATTCATAAGCATGCCATAAAATAAAATTCCCTACCACAAACCCAATATTCCTAATGAAAAAATTCCTTGTGAAATGTAAAGTATTATTAGAGGCTTCCAAATTAGATATCTTTAAGGAAAATGGTGATTGATTCATCCAGTGAATACTATTTGTTTGCTTATTAAGTACATTTGGATGTACAAGAAGTACCTACTTCTTGTTTGCTTATTAAGTACATTTGGATGTTTGATAAATTCAACCAATAAGAACCATATTCTTAAGGAGCTTGTATTTGATCAGAGGAAGAGGCAATATCAGCAACCAAAAACAAAAACAAAACCCAAAGGCATAAGAAATTCAAGTAGTCTGATACACTAGAGATTATCATGGTTGAGACCTATAATGTCCCCCCAGAAATCTCACGTTTAAATGGTGATTGGATCATTAAGTACTTGCTCATCAGTAGATTCATGGATGGGTTTAATAGTAAATGTGCTTTTAGGAAGTAGAGCCTGTTTGGAGATGGGTCACTGAGAGTATGATCTGCAATGTTTCATCCTTGTCTTGAAGTCTTTCCTTCTTCCCCTGTGCTTCCTGACCACCATGACCTGAGCAGGTTTCCTCCCTCCACACCCTTTCACCATATCCACTTTGGCCTTCGAGCCTGTAGACCACAGACCGAACCCACTGAAACTGACAGCCAAAATGAGCCTTTCTTCTTTTAAGATATTTTTGTCAGGTGTTTTTGTCTTCGTGATAGAAGGCTAATAAAGTGACTTAAATCACTGTCACAATCAGGGGTGAAGATACTTTAAGAAGGTGATGTCTAAGGTTATGTAAGTACTGAGAAGGAACTTGCATATTCCAGTCAGAGGGAATAGTACAAAGGCCTGTGGTGGAGATGAACTGGACTTGCTAACGAGACCAAAGAGTGAAGGGAAGAAGTTGGATAGGTCAGTGTCAACTGGATAAATAGAGTATTTACTCTAATATTAGGAGTTCAGCTTTTATTCTAAGTGACATAGATTGCCATTGCAGAGTTTTAAGCAGTAGAAATATTTGTCTTGGTAACTGTTTTTAAAAGATTTTGTGAC